CCCCCAATATGATTCCGTATCTTATCAAACACCCTCACCGCTTTCAAATAACCCTCCTTAAATGGCACCACACCCCCAGAATACTCAAACAGCACCACCACCCCAAAATCAAAATCAAAATCCAACCGCCTTCAACCCCCAAATACCGCATTCCCACTTAAACCAAAACACCAATCCTCAAACCTACCCACAAAACTACCAAACTGCTCAAAATGTCCCAAGTCCTTCTATTGCTCCATCCCTCCCAAAAAGAACCACCTTCCAAGTTCCCATTCCTGCCGAGCATAAGGTGCACGATTCTGAGTTGGATCACTACGAGGAGCAGGAGAGAGAGTAGAAGGCAAGGGAAGAAGAAAAGATCGACATAAAGGAGGAGATTAAAAGGGCAATGAAAGAGTTACAGTGCATTCCAGACATCGCCGGATTGAGTTATGTAGAATTATGTATCCACCCAGACTTGAATCTTCCCGAAGGGTTCCAAATCCCGAAGTTTGACACCTTCATAGGGGTAGGCAACCCCATGGCGCATTTGAGAGCGTACTGCAACCAACTCGTGGGAGTTGGCAAAGATGAGGCTTTATTGATAAGGCTTTTCAGCCGAAGTCTGTGCGGGGAGGCCCTAGAACGGTTTACGTCACACGAAACTAGGCAGTGGCCCAGTTGGAGCGCACTAGCTAAAGACTTCATTGATCGATTCGCGTACAATGTTGAGATAGTCCCCGATCGAAATTCTTTAGAGTAAATGAAGAAGAAATCGACGGAAAGCTATCGGGAAGTGGCCTACAGATGGAGAAAAGAAGCACCGAGGGTAAGGCCTCAAATGATTGAAAAGGAGATTGTAGAAGTTTTCGTACGGGTGCAAGAGCTCGAATACTATGACAGAATCATTTTGTTAATCGGAGCCAAATTCGCCGAGATAGTCAAAGTTGGTGAGACTATTGAAGACGGTCTAAAGTCGAGAAAGATAGCATGAGTATCCGCGTTGCCTGGATCTTCCGGATTGATGAGGAAGAGGAGAGAGGAATTTGTCGTTGTTTCATACGGGGGAAGGAAAACTCCCAAAAACTCATCGCATCCTCAAGATCGCTCCAAGCCTCCACCAAAATCTCACCAAGCCTATCGACCACAATCCGATCATTCCAACAACTACTATGCTGCCCCCACCTATCTAGATGCTCAAATTTTGTCTTACCAAAATCCACCCCCAAATCTCCAAAATTTTCTCTCCATGTACCCAAATTACCCCCAATCTTATCAAATTCCACCCCCTTATCATAATATCGCTCCCAACTGTGCCAATGTACAGTTGAGCTATCGAGCAATTTCCCCCACATATCATGTCCAAGCTCCATCATATCAAATCCCGGTCCCGAATTACCATGCTCCAGTGCCAAATTACAAGACAAACCCCTACCCTATAACCCAAGCTCCTCGCCCAAATGCTCGCAATTATCAACAGGTTCCTCCCCCTCAACAAAGAGGGTATGATCCTTCTCATCCCAGGTTTGAGAAAAGGCCTTCGAGGAACTTTACCGCGCTAGCTGAAAGCTAGACCAAGCTATTCGAAAGACTAACCGCGGCCGAATACATCCATCCTGTGGGGCCCAAGCCTTTGGATGTCAAGTCTAAATTCTACAAAATGGAGCAGAAATGTGCTTATCATTCCAACAGTGTTGGATATCACATAGAAAACTGTATCAATCTTAAGTACAAGATCCAGGATCTGATTGACCAAGAAGTAGTCTCCCTCCAACCTGCGGCGCCGAACGTAAATACAAATTCGTTGCCAAATCATGGGGGTGGAAACATCAATATGTTAGAGACGGACGAAGACGAGTATGAAACCAAGAGGATTACTCCCGTTGCGCAGGAAGACTTGGAAAAGGCTGCCGCTTCTTTAAGCGTCAAGGAAAAAAGAGAGTTCGTTATTCTGCCACCTACGGAGGTTGTTGCCTTGGTGCCCTCAAAAACTCTCGCCAAACCCATATTTTTCACAGAAACGTCCGTGGCCCAAAGCATGACCAGGTCCGGAAGATGCTACACTCCTGATAAGCTTGCTCTCGGAGGAAAAAAGAAAGACCATGCCAAGAGACCAATAAGTGAAGCAGAAGCCGAGGAGTTCTGGAGGAGGATGCAACCTAAAGATTACTCCATTGTCAAACACTCGGAGAAGACTCCGGCTCAGATCTTCGTATGGGCCCTACTAATGAGCTCCCGGTCCCACAGACAGGATTTGATGAAGGCTCTTGATGACACGTACGTGACCTCAGGCACAAGCAGGGAAAATATGGCTGACATTATTCACCAAGTCATTCGGGGGCACCGCATCAGATTTTGTGACGATGAGTTTCCAGCAGAAGGGAGGTCCCACAACAAAGCTCTGCATGTCACTGTGATATGCCGCGGAAAGGTTGTGAATCGTGTTTTCGTAGATGATGGATCTGTTTTGAACATATGCCCCTTATCGACATTGAAACAACTGAGGTTTGACCTCGGAAAGTTGGAGCGAAACCAGGTTAATGTAAGAGCGTTTGATGGTGTGCAAAGAGACACATTAGGGGCGGTGAACTTGACCTTTCAAATAGGCCCCGCGGAGTTCAATGCGAAATTCCAAGTGTTGGATATTGACACCAGTTATAACCTTTTTTTGGGAAGGCCGTTCATTCACATGACTAGAGCCGTCCCCTCCACTCTTTATCAAATGATGAAGCTGGGATGGAAAATGAGGAGCTAGTTGTTCACGGTGAAAGAAGCCACTCAGGCAAGCAGGTGTCAGTCTTTGACGAGACGCCGCAAGGTTTGGATTTTTACACGGTGGAGTTGGTAAATGCCACCAATGAGGATTTAGACCCGCAGGCCCCCATGCCGGTCATGTACAGAATGATCGCCATGGCAATGTTGCAGAATGGGTTCGAGCCAGGTTTCGTATTGGGAAGAGATTCCCAAGGGATCATTGAACCTATTCCGGTCCTCGCTAAAGAATTCAAATATGGTTTAGGGTACATCCCCACAGATGATGATGTGAAGATGAAGAAGAAAAAGGATCAATAGTTGGATAAACCGATCCCGCAAGTGTATCAATCCTTTCCAGTCCGGGAGTATGCTGAGCCTGAAGATTGTGGGGAAGGAATCTGTGACCTATTCAAGGAGATCAATGTTGTTATGGAGGAGGAGGTCGAGCCAACTGGTATTCGTGATGGTGAACCAAGAGAGATGCTGCAGAATTGGACTTCCAAGCCAATCCTGATGTCCCGAACTCTTTGGTAGAAAGGAGTTATTTTATGCATACTAAAATCGGTGGTTGTCCGAAAGAGGCCCGAGACCCACCATTTCTGCATTTTCCTTAATTTTTTGAATTTTGAATTTTCGTTGTGATGTTTAAAAAAGGCAACATGGTCCTGTGCTGTGACCAAAGTTTGAATTTTTGTTTTAAATGAAAGCCTCCTTATTTTGTTTTTAAACTTTGTTTATTTAGTTGCTTGTTATACTTTACTTTCCTAATTTTGTCTATTTATGATTTCAGTAACATAAGTTACAGACCTGCCAATGTCATGTCAGGTCATGAGCTAAATGAACAAAATGAGACAGATGATGACAAGGTTGACGACTATGAAGAAGAAAATGGGGAACCAGATTATGTTGCAGAGGAATTTCGACAGTTCGAGAATCAGCATTAACCAAATCTGGAGGAGAAGGAAATGGTGAATTTTGGAGATTTTAAAATGTGTCAAGAGGTTAATATCAGCACCTACCTGAATAGAACTCAGAAGGAGAGCGTGATTTATTTGCTTTCCGAATACAGTGATGTGTTTGTTTGGGAAGTCAGTGACATGCAGGGGTTGAGTACTGATGTCGTATCTCATAAGCTACCTATCAACCCAGGGTTCGAGCCGGTGAAACAAAAGACTCAAAAATTCAAGCCTGAACTGATTTTGAAGATTAAGGAAGAAATCACCAAGAAAATAGAGTCTCGACTGGTGGAAGTAACGCAATACCCAACCTAGTTGGCCAATGTCGTCCCGGTCGCCAAGAAGGATGGAAAAATCAGGATTTGTGTTGATTAGAGATTTCAACAAGGCTAGTCCGAAGGATAATTTTCCATTGCCAAATATCCATATTTTGATTGACATCTGTGCCAAACATGAGATGCAGTCATTTGTGGACTGCTAAGCAGGTTATCACCAAATTTTGATGGATGAAGAAGACGCAGAAAAAACGGCTTTTATCACACCTTGGGGTGTATATCACTACACGGTGATGCCGTTCGGCCTCAAGAATGCCGGTACCACTTATATGAGAGCCATGAAGACTATTTTCCATGACATGATTCATAAATAAATTGAAGTGTACGTGGACGACGTCATAATCAAATCCCGCGAGAGTTCAGATCATTTGACACACCTGAGAAAATTCTTTGAACGTTTGCGTCGGTACAACTTGAAGTTAAATCCTGCCAAATGCACTTTTGGAGTTCGACTGGGAAGTTATTGGGATTTATAGTCAGCAGAAGGGGTATTGAGCTTGACCCCTCCAAGAATAAAACAATTCAAGAGTTACCTCCGCCGAAAATGAGAAAAGTGGTGATGAGTTTCTTAGGGAGGTTAAACTATATTAGCCAGTTTATAGCACAATAAACATTGCTGTGTGAGTCTATTTTCAAGTTGCTGAAGAAAGACGCCCCAACTAAGTGGACTGAGGAATGCCAGACTGCTTTCGATGCTATCAAGAGCTATTTGTCTAACCCATCGGTATTGGTTCCTTTGCGAGAAGGGAATCCTTTGTTGCTGTATTTCTCTGTTTCAGATAGTTCTTTCGGATGTGTACTTGGTCAACACGATGAGGCATGAAAGAAAGAAAGGGCTATATACTATATAAGCAAGAAGTTTACTCTGTACGAGTCTCGGTACACTTTGCTGGAGAGAACATGTTGTGCTCTGACGTGGCTTGCCCAAAAATTGAGACACTATTTGTCTTCTTATACTACATATCTCATTTCCAGAATGGATCCGTTGAAGTACATTTTCCAGAAAGCGATGCCGATCGGAAAATTAGCTAAATGGCAAATGTTGTTGAGTGAGTTTGATATCATGTACGTGACTCAGAAGGCAATAAAGGCACAAGCTTTGGCTGATCATCTTGCAGAAAATCCCGTGGATAAAGAATACGAACCACTTAAGACATATTTTCACGATGAAGAAGTGTTATTTGCGGGTGACGGAGTGACAAATCATCAAGGTAAAGGTATTGGAGCGGTCTTAGTGTCAGAATGCGGTCAGCACTATCCCATGGCAGCTAAACTCCGATTTAATTGCACAAACAACATGGCTGAATATGAAGCTTGTATTCATGGTTTGAGAATGACCATCGACATGAATGTTTAAGAGTTATTGGTCATTGGAGACTCAGATCTTTTGATTCATCATGTTCAAGGTGAATGGGCTATGAAGAACCCGAAAATTATACCTTACGTACAGTATGTGCAAAATCTGTGTAAAAGTTTTCACAAGATCGAGTTTAGACATACTCCAGAATACAGAATGAATTGGCTAATGCTCTTTCCACCATTGCTTCGATGATCAAACATCCGGATACTGACTACATCGACCCACTAGATGTAGAGTTGAAGGAACATCCAGTCCATTGTTCACATATTGAATCAGAACCAGACGATCTGCCTTGGTATTTTGACATAAAGAGGTACTTGGAGTCTGGGACGTATCCAAAAGACGCTACATCTAATCAGAAGAAGTCGATACGCCGCGTGACTCTCAATTTCTTTCTAAATGGAGAAGTCATGTATAAGAGAACTCCAGATTTGGGTCTTTTGAGATGTGTGGATGCTGCTGAAGCTGTGAGGCTTATTGAACAGATACATGCTGGAGTTTGCGGTACACATATGAATGGGCTTACTTTGGCAAGAAAGGTTCTTCGAGCCGGGTATTTCAGGATGACTATGGAGAATGGCTGTTTCAAATTCGTGCAAAAATGCCACAAATGTCAAGTGCACGGCGATTTGATACGGGTGCCACCTCACGAACTTAATGCTATGATTTCACCTTGGACATTTGTAGCTTGGGGAATGGATGTCATCGGTCCTATAGAGCCTTCCGCTTCCAATGGACACAGATTCATTTTGGTTGCCATTGATTATTTCACTAAGTGGGTGAAAGCAGTCACTTACAAGTCGGTAACCATGAAAGTGGTGGTCGATTTTGTCCGCAACAATCTGATATGCAGATTTGGAGTTCCAGCATCCGTCATTACTGATAATGGGGCAAATCTCAACAGTTATTTTATGAGAGATATATGTGAGCAATTTAAGATTATTCATCGAAAGTCAACTGCTTATCGCCCCCAAATGAACGGAACTGTAGAGGCCGCCAACAAGAATATCAAAAAGATCTTGAGGAAAATGATTGACAAACATCGAGGTTGGCATGAAATGTTTCCATACGCTTTACTAGGTTATCGAACGACAGTCAGAACATCGACTGGTGCTACTCCATACTTACTAGTATATGGAACAGAGGCAGTTATACCTGTTGAAGTCGAGATACCGGATTGAGGATCATCCAAGAAGCTGATTTAAGTAACGCTGAGTGGGTTAACAAACGGATTGATCAACTAGCTTTGATTGATGAAAAGAGAATTGTTCCCGTTTTCCATGGCTAGTTGTATAGACAGAGAATGACTCACGCTTTTCACAAAAGAGTAAGAACCAAAAACTTTGAAGTTGGTCAGTTGATCTTAAGCGTATTTTCCCTCATCAGGACGAGTACAAAGGAAAGTTCGCACCTAAATGGCAGGGTACTTACATGGTTCATAAAGTATTATCTGGAGGTGCTTTGGTCCTGTCGGAAATGGATGGTAGTGTATGGCCAAAACCTATCAACTCAGATGCGGTCAAGAGATACTACGTGTGAAGTTTCATTTTGCATTTTTCTATCATTTACTTGTAATCACTTTGTTTGCTTGTATTCGTTCCGTTTGAATTCTTATCCCTCTTGTAATGAACTATGTCTGACCTTAATTCTCGAGAACGAGATACGTAGGCAGCCTATATCGGCTTCGGTCACCCCATATATCCCCTTTAAATATTTATTTGTGTCTGAACTACGTTCGACCTGAATTCTCAAGAATGAGATACGTAGGCGGCCTATATCGGCCTCGGTCGGTTTCTTTGTAAATTTTATTCTTGTTAACCTTTAAGGGGAACTATGTTTGACCTGATTCCTGCCTCATCGGAATATGTAGGTGCCACAAGGGTCGGTCATATTTACCATAAGTTCTATTCTTTATTTCTGTGAAACTGGGACAAAATTTTTGAGAAGGACTCAAAAATTCTCTTGAAGAAGCCTTCTCTTCAGCAAGTCAAACTAAAGATATCTTGAGATCTACAACTGGGACAGAAATTTTGAGGATGGCCTAAAAATTTCGTTATGGGTCTTCCCTACAAGTCCGGAGTGACTTTGAAACCCATCAGCGAATGATCAGATAGACCTCTTGGGTGTCAGATTCAAAGAATCTTGTTAAGCCTGATACGACATGACTTGGCAGTGACTTTTTCAAGAAATTATTTCTTAAAGATTTCTCATTACTCTCAAATTTTCCCTTTTATGTTTCATTTGTTTTGGAATAAGATATTTTTTCTTATCTATGAAGAGTCGGGAAATTGGGAAATCAACCGGAGATATCAAGACAAGGAGAAAACAACTGAAGGAATCAACACAGATCAGTATGTTTTAAAATTGACAATTTTTCTGTGGGTGCAGGTTTATAGCTTTGCTTTGAAATCGGCCAAATTCTCCCGATGAATGAATATGGAGAGCTCCCAAAGAGGAGAAAACTATCTCCAAAATAGTAATTTTACTGAGAGCAGGAGGCAGTTCATATCGTTTGTGTCAGGATACTTGGGAATGTGGTTTGTTTATTTGAAGTCATTCCCAACAATATGAAATTTACAAAGTGTCTAGCCAGATTCAAAGATGAATCAAATAGGAATCTCAACGAAGATTTCACGATTCTGTAGAGGACGCTATTTGCATTACGTTATCAAAGCAAGATAATTATTGTCAATCAAGATAATGCATTACCCCATAAGAGATAGCTATTTCATTACTATTTTATTATCGATCAAGTCGATATATTATTTGGAGGTCGTCTTGCCGTTATCATCAACACAGACGATATAAATATTCATGCATTGCGGAAAATCACGCATCAAGAAAAACCTACATCGCAAAAACCATGCATCGCGAAAGACCATGCATCGCGAAAAATCATGCATTGTGAAAGTCATGCATCGTGGAAGTCATGCATCGCGAGTTTAGAATTTATGGAGCACGAGAAGATTTCATGACTCGCCAAATTTATACATCGCGAGAAGACTCCATACCTCGCTGAAATTTATGCATCACGAGAGGAAATCCATGCATCGTTGAAAATCATGCATTGCGGAAAATCATGCATCGCGGGTCAATAATTATACGCGATGAGAAGGTTCCATGCCTCGTCAAAAATTATACCTCACGAGAAGATTTCATACATCGCGAGAAGAGTTCATACCTCGCCAAAATTTGTGCACCATGAGAAGAATACATGCCTCGTTGAAATTTGCTCATCGCGAGAAGATTTCATGCCTCGCTGAAAGTTATGCATTGCGAGAAGATTTCATACCTCGCAGGAATTTACATATCACGGGAAGATATTCATGCCCCTTAAGAGGACATACACGGGTAAAGAAAGGGAATCGTGTATCCCAAGAGTAATATTTATCCATCGGCCTCAACTGCACTCTTTTATAGAAGTAAACATCAAGAAGATCATCGAAGATGACGACAAAATATCAATATCGCATCAACATTTATTTATTTATTTCGGCATCAAGTATAGAGTGCATTGAAGATTACACAAGGAATAAGCTTTATTTGCTGCGCGTCAGACCGATTGAGTCGACGTCGAATATGGAGGAAACGAAGTGTCGACATGGTAAAAGACACTATCTCCTATCCTGATTGCATTTTTCAAGCTAACGAGTTTTATCTCAGTCTTTGTCAAGAGCATCCAAAGGATGAATTCTCCCAAAAAAAACCACAGGTGTGGACGACATCAAAAAGGATGCAGCACAACGTGGAACTTTTTCTTAGCAGCAAACTGGGACACAGTCTTAAGAGGAATGTCAAACTCTTAGGACGCGAGCAGAGGAGCGACTTCCACCACAATCGAACCACCCCTATCGAAGCATGTGGGTTTTTCTTTAGTTCTGTCAGTTTCAGTCTCGCATCCGGAAGTTTTGAGTTATCGGAAGCAAGTTTCCAATCTGAGTGACAATGCGCCAAGAGCTTTGGAAATTATGTCCGTGTAAGTTCTTAATTATGGGTGTGAAGCGTGCCACATTCATGGCTAAGAGGTTACAAGCCTCCTTTTCATACTCGTTTAATTTGTCAATTGTCCAAAACCTAAGGTTATCTAGCATAATAGATTTCCTTTTCCGCTGATCGAGTCGAACTACACACAGCCTGATTCCGAAGGTTTAAGGATATGTAGGTGGATTCAATGTTGAAAACTCGGTTGTATTCCAACATTCTCTCTCGAATTCTATTCTCGAGCATTTCGATACCTTCATAATTTGGTATCAAGGTGGCTTTTGATTCTTCCAAAATCATGCGGAAAATAAAGCTTATCGAACTACAAGTGGCCTGAATTCACATATAGCCTGAGATATGTAGGAAACCTGTTTCAAGGGTTCGACCATAATTCCTAAACCCTTTGTCGAATCCTTCCTTTAGAAAATGAATGAGGTTGGTTAAAATTGGTTTGGTCAATTTCATTTTCCTCGAATTGCTTGCATCAACCCAAGTAATGTATGCATCGCAAGAAGATTCCATACCTCACAGAAAATTCCATGCATCGCGAGAAGATTCCATACCTCGTAAAAAAATTCATGCATCACTAGTTAATTCATGCATTGAGAGTTAATATTCATGCATCGAGAGTTAATTCATGCATCGAGAGTCAATTCATGCATCACTAGTTAATATTCATGTATCGAGAGTCAATTCATGCATCAAGAGTCAATTCACGCATCGCGAGTTAATTCATGCATCACTAGTTAATATTCATGCATTACGAGTTAATATTCATGCATCGCAGATTATTATTCATGCATCACAAGTTAAATTTTTTATGCATCGCGAGAAGATTGACTTCCTCGCAAAAGTTTACATATCGCAAGAAGATTTCATACCTTGTAGAATTCATGCATCGCGAGAAGATTTCATGCCTCGCAAAATTTTATGCATCGCGAGAAGATTCAATTCCTCGCAAAAGTTTACATATCGCAAGAAGATTTCATACCTTGCGTAATTCATGCATCGCGAGATGATTTCATCCCTCGCAAAATTTCATGCATCGCGAGAAGATTCAATTCCTCGCAAAAGCTTACATATCTCGAGAAGATTTCATACCTTGCATGATTTATGCATCACGGGAATATTTGATCCCTTGCAAAATTTTATGCATTGCGAGAAGATCCCATCCCTCGCAAACTTTGCGCATCGCGGGAAGATGTTCATGCTCCGCAAGCAATCACGCACCGCCAGAAAAGGAATCGTGCATCTCAAAGGAAATATTTATCCCTCAAAGTCAACTGACGTTGAATGCCGAGGAGAGAAATTGAGTGTCGACACGGTGGAAGACACTGTCTCCCATTTAAATTGCATTTTTAAGCTGACGAGTTTTATCTCAGTCTTTGTCAAGAGCATTCGAAAGGATGAATTTTTTTCAAAAAACAAAATCAAAAAAAGATAAAAAAAAAACAGGTGCAAACTACTTCAACAAGGACGCAACACATCATGGAACCTTTTGGAGACAGGTCTGGGATTGACTTCCACCACACGCAACCGCACTTCTCTACAAAGGTCATGTGTTCGGTCAAAATTGGGTTTGTCAATTTTCATTGTGTACGATTTCTTTCATCAATCATACACAACGAAAGGGACAGCTGTTGACACCCAATTTTGGCCTAACATTTTAAAAATTCATGATTTTGAAGCTTTATTTATTTAATAGCAAATTTTGGTCCAATGATTTTAAAATTCATACATTTTGAGTCAAATACAAAAAAAAAATTAAAAAAATCTGCCTTTCCCACATTGTCTCTCAAAAAATTTTCAATTTTGCAATAGTCCCACATCGATATTTCATCCTTTTTGAGGATTTTTGGGTTTCTATATAAGTCCACTTCATTCACTATTTTTAGGAGAGGATTTGGAGGGGAAAACAAAAGAATACTCATAAAATTTTGAGAATTCTTGGTTCCCATAGTTCAAAATTTTTTTTGTGGTTTTTCGAGTTGAGGAGGTGGAGTCGTCTCCTTCAAACTCATAGTTTCGGTTCGACACCCAGAACCAGGTAAATTTTTTTTCTTAGCCTTGTTTTATTTAATTCCCAGTTTTTTTATGTTTTCTGTTTATTATATGTAGCTTGTTTTTTTTTAGTTTAATGTAGTTCTAAAAGTCAATTAATATTTGTGTTTATTGTAGTTTTAGTATTAACATTATTTTACGGTTTGATGTTTATTTATTTATTATTATTATTATTTTAAAATTGTTAGTCAACTATTTGATATCTTAACTTTTCAGGGTTTTTTTATTATTCTATTTTAATGTTATTTTTAATTTTTATATATTAGGTTATTGTTATTTCCATTTCTAATTATGTTGTTTTAGTTTGGTTGTTGTTTTCCATATTCTCTTGGGATAAGTTTGTTATGTTTTGTTGATGTTCAGGTTATATTAAATATATTTGTTAAAGGGCCAATAAAAAATCTATCCGTCGGATTTAGAGTCCTTCCCATTTTAAAAGACGGAAAATTAGTTAAGTCCATATTATTTGTTTTGTT